CGATCCACCTCCATCTCTCCCGTCTCTTTCTTCTCCTCGTCCCGCATCTTCTCAAGCGTCTTCTCCCGCTGCGCGAATCCTATTTCTCCCCCCCTTCCCTTTCTTCGATAGCCACCTGTCTGGGTTCCTCCCCCCCTCCCTGCGGCCAGGCTCTTTTTCCCCGCTAACCCATCTTTCGCCGACTTCGCGAGAAGTGCCCTCGGACGAGGGAGACACTCGATTCTCGAATCTTATGGGAGAATTTTGTTCTCGACCTCGATATTTACGCAGCAGCAGGGACCGTTGCGTGGGACACGCGAGTTTGCGTCCTAAATAGCGTGCGAATATACGCGCGGACTTTTAAGCTCGCGAAAGAACACCGAGACGCCCCGTGGCTTAATGTCGCGTGGCTTTTGCGCGCGATATCTCGCATAAAGAGGAAAAAAACCGGAGTGGAATATCTTCATTCGTATAATGCGCTTCGCGCTTTTTAGGACAACCGCGCGGGGTTGTGTCTGAACGTGCGCGCACACATACACACACACACACATACATATATACGTCGTAGGCGTATTTCGCAAAGTCGTCGGTGTTTCACTCGTGACGCGACTATGCTAACGCGGTAGCGTCGCGCATGGAATACGTTTTGCGAGGCCGAGATCGAGAATCGTACCCGTACACGGTTCTCTAAACCTCACGAGATTAACTTCGGTATGCAAGCAAGCTTACGCAAGCATCGAACAAACTCGGATGATCGTGATGTTGCGCAGAAACGAAATTCGCCGAGTGCAAATTCCATCACATTGCACGTAGAAAGAACGAATCGCCGAATAGCTTTTTCTTCTTTTCGCCGTTTATTTAACCCCGTGAATACAATCAATGTATCAGAAAAGTAATGTCGTTTTTTTCTTTATCTAAAACTCACACCGGCACTTTCGAACATTCAATATTTGCGAATAAACATCGTCAATGTTGTTTTGTTGCCACTTGTTCCTTTTGCAAAATTAAAAAAACATGCAATGTCGAAAAAAAAAATGTTCTTCCAGTGTATCATCAGAGTTTATTTGTTTTTAATGTGTTACTGAATTATCTAAATAATCAATTGTTTATAAATACGAAATAAAACAATTCTAGATTATAGAAAAAAATCTCCAATTGAACTCACATAAAAAGTTAATTTAAAAGATTGCAAAGTTATCACAAAAGCGACTTCACTTTTCCTAATTAATATACGCAGTGTCAAAAAATAAAAAAAAAAAAAAACTAACGCAGACAAACATGATAATTCGTGAATTTTATATAAAAATGAGATTTATGAGAAAAGTGATTGAATGGAAAAAGTCATCGTCATGGGACGTGAGTCACAGTCGTAGCATTCTCGGCACGCGTCCAACGTGATTACGCGATGATAATGCGTTGGAGGGTTGCAAAGCAAGACGCAAAAGAAGAAACCTCGCGTATAAAAGCGACGTACCTGTCGAGGAGGATGACGTTGCCGCGTTGTCTTTCTTCACGCCGCCGACGACGCTGTTCACCAGGATGCTTTCCTTGACCGTCATGGTGTAACGCGGTTTTTCGCAGGTGGCGATCTTGTGTCCGGCGGAAGAAACGGTGACCTTGACCTCGGCGTCGACGAGGCTCTTCAGACCGGCCGCGTCCGTTGCCGTCACGTTGAGCTGATACAACGGCGAGCGCGAGAGCACGCTCGGTCTTACCAAGTGCAATTCGCCGGTGTTACGATCGATGCGAAACATTCCGGCCTCGTTGCCGGCGGTGATGCGATACGTCAGCTGACCGAATAAACCGGCATCGAGATCGGTCGCCACCAGTCGCAGAATCGGACCGTGAACCACGCTGTCGCTTCGCAGAGTCACGTTGTACTTGCGGGGCTCGAAAATCGGCGGATTGTCGTTCACGTCCGTCACCAGAATACGCACGATCGCTATTGTGCTCAATCCACCTGCAAACAGAATTAATTTCATCGTAGAATAATTTCATTGTGGAACGCATAAATGTAATCATAAAAAATTATAGGAAATATATTTTTTTGGAAATCGAGAGATGTCCATTGGAACAAATCAAAGATCACTTTGTTTGTTATATCGGTATATCCTAACAACTTCACAATGTAATATTAATTATATTCACAATTTCTGCTTCATTATCAGAAAACGAGCGATTGGGGGGCGCGTTGCTGGATTCCGATCGGAAGAACGTCTCGCGAACGGAGGCGAGAACTGCGCGACCGAGCGATTATGTTTATCTCATTCCCGGTCGAAAAAATCCTCTTATCGAGCCAAATAATGTCCGGGTATTAGCCGACGTAGAGAACGAATCTACGGGGACGCGTTCAGACCCGGTCCGCATAAATCACGGGCGTCCCGTACCGCGGGCCTCTTTTCTCTCGGACCCAATCAGCCGCTGACCTCTACTTCTCTCGCTCTCACCTACCTTCGGGTTTTCGTTTCATCTCTCGCTTCCCTCCCGTTCCCCTTTCTCCGGCCTTCTTTTTCCCACCCAGGTAACACCACTCCGTCTTTGCTTCCCCGTTTTATTCGGACACACGCGAGCACGTGTGCGTCGACGCGAGCTCTTCTTACCTCCGCGCGCGGAGGTAATGCGCTGCTCATAGTAATATTTCAAACGCAAGAGAGAAAGAGAGAGAGAGAGAGAGAGAGGCTTACGGGGTCCCCAAATGGCCGCATTCTTGCGGTGTCTCAAAGTTCTTCTTTTAAACATTACGGCCTTCCCGGTAATTGCTCCGCTGATAGATTGATTGACCGTCGAACCATATACACGTTCATACAAAACCGTTGATGATGATTTAAGCAATTTATGGCACACAAGCAATTACGACTAGTTTTGTACAGCTTTTAGCATCTATTCACGTTCCACACAAACAGATTTGTTAGACGTAATCCCTCAAGTTGTGCAAGCGATTTGGTTGTCTCGCGAAGAATTTAAAAAAGCTTGAAAAAGCTCTCTCTGAGAACTCGCCGAACGTCTAACTACGTCGTAAGCGTTTGAAATTAATCGGAGAGGGATTACAAACTATTAATGTTATTAACGGGGGGACCGTGTTCGCCTTTGTGCGCATTTCTACGCGGGCGGAACGTAACGGCGACGAGCGCGGAAAAATCACAGGAATGACACAGAATAAATTCTCCCCTTCTCCTCTCCGCCGCGCGAGAGCTTCTGTTCGCCGCCTCGGAGATTTGGACGACGCGGAGTGTTAATATCAAAGACAGTATGTAAAATGGGTAATCCGATGTTTAAACGGTTTACAACCGTAACTCATAATAACGTATGGACTCGGCCGTTGTGCGAGAAGCTCTCTCCGAAGAGCGCGAGGAGATTTATGGGTGCGAGTGTCATTGGAGTCATGCGTCACGGAGGCCCGGACTCCCCGTGCTCTCTCCCCGTCATCCTTTCTCCGGGGGCTTCGTCTCTCGAAAGGACGAAGTGCCTTCGGACCTCCGTGTGGACACCGTGACGACGTCTCCGTGAAAGACATCGAAGATATCGGGGACACCGATCTCCGAACCCAACCGATCGCGAACACAGCCCGGTGTTGGGGAAAACTTATTGAAAAATCATGTCCGGATTCCTAATGACGGTTAATTTTTAATTGTCGTGCGCGACATCGTCCATAGATCATCACCGTTGCGCTCACGTGATTTCTCTTCTCGTGTAGGTAGGTTGAAAAATCGATTAGGCGCGTCCGGGAAGACGGAGAACGTGCCGAGAAACGAACGAGATATACACACCTTCGACTTCCTGGGGATAGTTCAACGGCATTTTAATGCGCGGTCTGATATTTGGTGCCCCGGTGCAGCCCGGCCCTTTTAATTTCACGCGGTCGATCGCCGGGATGAGTCCTTTTCGAGATTCGTGCGGCGGCGCGCGGGAAGAGGAAGGGGGAGAGGGATACGAGAGGATTCCCGGGAGAGAGATTTATGCGGCCGGTAGGCGCGGCGGTGCTCAACCTCTGATAGCGCGCATATAAGCGCTCGAGAAATCGGAGATTCACAAAGATGTGAAATTCGTTCGTCTCGGACGGACAGACAAGGTTGTTCTTTTTTTTTTTTTTTTTTTTACTATTCTGAATATTTTTCAAGCGAGCGATTCAAGGGCGAAAAACAACTTTTTGTCGGATCGCGTTTACATCGCGGCGAGGCAGCTCTCTGTCTCGCGTAAAACCTGCAATTTGTTTCTCTTCTTCTTCCGCGCGAAACGAGCTGTTCCATTAATATACACCGCGTGCGAAATGCGCTCGCCGCGATTCCGGGATTTCCGCTGCGAGATGTGCGCGACGTTTGAAGGCTCGCACACGGTGACACATCCGGAGATTATGGCCTGTATCACGCGGAGTCGAGGAGGCGAAATAAATAAGCGCGAAAACGGCGCGGACACAATGACAGTCGGTGGGAGTTAAGCCGCGAAGATTTATGACGACGATGCCAATAAAGTCGCCTGCCGGTGCGACATACCGTCGGGAGAGAGAGAAAGAGAGAGAGAGAAGAGAGATCGGCGCATCCCTCAGGACGCGACTTCGCGCGTTCCCGCGTGCGTTTTTTCTTACACGGGTGTATAATTTCAGGAAGAAAAAAGATAGCGTCTCCGTCGATTTTTTTCCGTCAACGCGACGATAAATCGAAGAGACGCGCGCGATAAAATCTATCCCGTTGGCGGGTCATCTCCGCGGACGGACGGAAACACAACGAGAGAGGGAGAGAGGATTTCGTTGGGAGATTAGCGTAGGAAATTACATTAAGATATCGCGCTCTCTCGCGTGTAATCGATATGCCGACAACATTGAGGATTCCTCTCGGCCGCGCTCGCTGGCAGAATATCCAGTTCGGTTACAGCATCGTTAATCGCGTTGCAAATGCGATGAGCGTTTTTCACGAAGTGAGGGGGATGATTATACATCACACGAGTTTATACAATGTTGTGTTTATTTTCTTCTGTCCCCCGCCGCGATTAAATCAACCAATAATAGACTTATTTCAACCGTGATTTGGTTGAAAAGAACCAAAATTTCGAAATTTATTATTTGTCGATTACTCGCATTCGTCCGATCGTTCACTCGGCAATTCTCGAAAGCTCTCGGGTAATTCGCCCGTTCAAGTGCACGTTCCCGCGGTTCGCGGCAAAGCGAAATTACGTATCTGTATTCGTATGCACGCGAATGGCTTTCGCAAATCCCCGCCTCGATTCGAAACCTCGCGGGTAATAATTATTACCCGCGCGGCGTTTTATCCGGCGCCATTAGCGCCGCACAGAGTGCGGCGATTGAAAGGTTTCAGTTATCGTTGGCATTTTCTGAAGATAAATATCGACGACGACGAATACACCGCTTGTCGCGCCTTCTGGTAGCGGCGCAAGATCGCGGCGCAAAGGGGATGGAGTAAGCGACTCTCTTTCTCTGGTCGTCGTCGTCGTCGTCGTCGTCGTTCTTTCGAACGTCAGCAGGTGGTATAAATCATGCGCACCTGGTCCGCGTGGTTCACGGTGGCTCGCGATTCGCTTTACTGCCGTCGCGCCAAAATGATTTTCTCCGTGCGAATTACAGCCGGGCAATAAGAAGAATTAATCGCCGGCGTAAAAATAAGAAGCAAGACGAAGGATTAATGAGTCCCGGAAAAGAAAGAGAGAGAGAGAGAGAGAGAGAGAGGAAGAAAGAAAGCGCGCGGCAGTTTTAGACACGCGAATCGCCGGAAGATATTTGTAATAATTTCCGCGCGCGCCAGACTTTGATTGAGATATGGCGGCTACTCGGTTGCGCAGGCGGAATTTCGTCGAAGAAATAGAATTTATCTATTATCACGAAATGAGAGAAAAGAGAGATAGATAGAGAAAGAGAGAGAGAGAGAAAGAAGAGTCATCATATTCCTCCGTTCTTGGCAACGCTGCGAATCTCGGAATTCGCGACGTGTTTCTTGCTATTCCGTTTTTTTTTTTCTGACACTATACCGTAGCACTTGTCAGCAGGTCGTATAAATCACGTCGCGCCGCCGGTCCCCGCGCGTGTTTGCCCGTCATATCCGGTCGGTTCTATTGTACGCACACCGAGTGTGCCTGTCGCCGATGCAGGTAGTGCGCCGGACAATCGTATCGATAACGAGCGACAATTACGGAACGCGTTCTGTTTGCAAAACGGCGTAAAGCCAACAATAGCAATCCTTCTCCTTCCCCTCTCAGAGTCTTTTTCTCTCTACGGTATTTTTACCTGGCACCAATCAGACTTTCTATATCCTCTTTTTATTCTTCTCGGATATACGGCGCTACGTTTCCCTCGCGTCTCTTCCGAGAGGTTGCTCGCAATGGCCGCCCGTTGCACGGTAGCAACCAGACCGCCCGACGATGGATCAATGGACCTTCAGTCATTGTCCTTTCCCATAAGGCGACCGCGCCGCCGCGTTGAAAATGGCCGCGCGGAAGCCACCAGGCGACATAAATCATACACCCTATTACAGTGCTACTAGATCTCGACGGGCCGATAGCCGGACCACCTCTGCTTCCCCGCGTTGCAACGAGAGACGGCGGCGACTTCTTCTACCTCTCGCGTTCCTCTTTTCCCGTTTCCCGAGCTGCGTTTCTCCCGCGCCGCGTGTCTCTTTGCCGCTTCGGCTTGTTTCTACTTGTCTCGCGCCTCCCCTTATCGACGCCCGTACGTGCGTACACGGGGCTCGCACGCGAATAGCGGAGCCGAGCATTGTTCGTGCGTCGTCGACTCGAACGCGGGAGATCGAGATCGCACGAGAGATCTCGTGCGATCGGAAACGAATCGTCGTGAGAGAGTGTGAATATGTTGAATTCGCAACAGGCAGGCTTGTTAAGTGGTTATAAGATACAAGTCTTGAAAAGTATTCGCGATAACGATATTTTTAATAGCGATTTATAGCAAGAAACACAATGCGGTATTAGAATTCCTAGTACTTTCAAGCGCATGGGATCGATTCTTAATGGAATTCGACATTATTTTCTTCTCCTTCTTTAGTTAGCAACCGACTGGTAGCAAGAGACGAAAGATACATACAAAGTCCGATCGAATAATATGTACAAGCGGATACAATGTGATTCCTCATAAAAAAAAATAAGAAAAAAATATAGACAAGAGTGTCGGGAAAAATCAATAATAGAGAAAACTATTATGCTCTCATAAAGAAGTCGACATTGTCATTATAGAAGTTCTATTATACATCTGCAGATATTTGATTTGATTTTTGTAATTTTATTATTATGCACATACTCGAGTTTTTAGAAATTTAAAGATAACATTTATAGATATTTTCACACTAAATGAAATATATCAAATTCAAAACAAGAAGATGAAGATAAAACCAAGTCGGAACAATCGATAATAATGGCATCGCAATAATTTATTCGCGGCTTGTGAAAACCTAAGATACGCATCTCGTTTGAAATGATTTAATAACTTCCGCGTGGCAATAGAGAAACGAAAGTGTAACACACAAACCTCTGTCGGTGGCAATGACAGGCAGCTCCAGATAAGGCGCCGTTTCTCTGTCCAGAGGCGACCGGACGCAAATATGCCCGGTATCACTGCGCACCAGGAGTTGCTCGCTCTCCAGTCGACCGCCGGCCAGGGTATAATTGACCATCGCGTTTACGCCGCAATCAGGATCGGTGGCTTGCACCTGCAACAAAGATAAATCAAGGTCAACGCTGTAATAAAACAGAGAAAGAGAGAGAAAGAGAGAGAGAGAGAGAGTCCAATGTAACACGGCGATATGAAACACGCGTGTACGCGTTTCGCACGAATGCCGCAAAACCAATCCCGCGTTATATTCTTTCAATTCATTAAACACAGCTCGGGTTGAAAAACAAGGCAAAAAAAACCAAACAGAAAAAGCTTGTTTCTCCGGACAGGAATGCAGTCCTTCCTTATACTCGCGTCCTTCGGAAGATTGAATCCGTTTTACACCAATTGAAAACGCAGATAATATTTATAATTATGATAATAGCACAGTTGTGGTGTAACGATATACTTGACCGAACACTTTACAAAACTGTGGAAACGCGTTCTATACGATAAAAAAAAAAAAAAAAAAAAAAAAAAATAAAAGTAAATTTCTCGCAGCCAAAGTAAAACGCGCTCTTATTATATAGCGTATCGATAAACTAAAAAAGCTTGCGAGATCTCAGGCGTGCGCGTTGCACGAAAAAAAAAACAAACAAACAAAACTGTCAGTCTCGTCTTTCTCGCAGCTCATTTCTCGCAAGCACGCGATGAATGGCCCCCCGTTAAACTTTATCGATTGCTTACTCGTCCGTAGTTTTTTGCGATGGTTTTGTTCGCAGCGAGAAAAAAAGAAGGACACGCGGATGACGAAGGGCGCGATGTCGTCGCGCCTCCCCGAAGGCGGAATCCACTTGGGCGAAGCACTTTGTTTCATTTCGCCCGGCGTTCCTGAAACGGGATACCCGCGGATCGCCGGGGAGGTGGTCCATTCGTAATCTGGGCCCCAGTGACTAATTTGCGAGCCTGCCTCTCCCTGCTCTCCCGGAGGAGGACCCGAAGACGTTACCCCGAACGGACAGACGGACGCGGACGGATGGACGAACGGACGTGGGGGCGGTGATGGACGCCTTCGTTGCTTCCAGCGCGTGTGATTTATGCGACGATTCATTGCCATCTACCCACCCCCTCGATGCGATACAAGTTAGAAGATTTCGTACGGTCGTTAACGAAAATACTTCTCCATTTTTTTTGCCGCCCGTGCGCATTGCTCGTCGAGAGAGAGAGAGAGAGAGAAAGAGAAAGATCATTTCCCTCGCGAATATCCTTTCCTTGCTCTCTGTGTGTTGTACTTTATTTCAATTGCTTTTTCACTCTTCACGTTTCACAAGCGGATAGTAAACAATATTTTATTATAAGTAGAAACAAGTTTTAAAACTTTTTATTACTTTTTTTTTTAATCATCTAAGTCTATTCTTCATCTAAGAGTATGAAGAGTATAGACTCTGTTAAGGTACTGAATTCTGCGAGACACAGAACATGATCGGGAAGGGAGGATGTTTTCTCCGTATGAATTATGATAGATACGTTCGCATTAATGAATAGGCTCTCGCTTCAGCACTCGCGAACAATAAGACTTACCTTCTGAATTGCGATTTAAATGGTACTTCTCCTCTAGGCGACGTGATATAGGTTTCGCCCGGACGTGATTTATCGCACACGCGGCGCGTAACGCACGCCACGCCGGTCGCGCTCGGGACACAACGCGAGCGATTTTCGATTTTTGCGAGCGCCGATAATGCTACCCGATCGGATAGTAGATTACGATCGATCGAGCCGATCGGTAATTGCCGCAATCGGTCGAACGACGGATTAAAGCGACGCGGAGAGAGGAAAGCGAAGGGACAGGAAGGAGGCGAGTGGAGGAAAGGCACTCGTAAATTCACCGGCGCACGAGACGTAATTTGCAGGGTGTAGTGTGGCGGCCAGAAGAGAGTCTTGTGCGCCCAGAGAGTCGTCGGGAACTCAGGACGCGGCAGAAACTGAGACGCGCGGATCGGTAATGAACCCCTTAACCCAGCCGGAGTTGCCTTAATGACAGTTTAAAGTTTCTTCTCGCGCTCGAGAGGTATCTCGCGCCGACCATCTAGCCGGAGTGATCCGAACACTCGCGAGGAAACGTCGGGGGGGAATCGCCAGGACCTCTGGCAGTCGCAATCGAGCGCCGATGATCAATTACATTTCGTTGCGACGCGATCGATCGATTTGTCACGACAAAACTGCCGAGCGGAACAATAAGCGAACGCAAATTATTCTCGCGTGATTATATCTCGCGTTTCCGTGTGAAGAAACTCTTATTTGCGTCTCGTGGCAAATTAAGTTACTCGCGTGTCCGTTGCTCGTGAAAAAGAAATAAACCGCGCGTGAAATCTCCTCACGTGCTATAATAACACAGCCAGAACCATGTCGAACCCTTTTTTTTTTCCGCGCACAAAGTTTCAACGTTTTTTGTTTCCACGTTCGTGTTGTTTCTTTTGCGATTAATTGCAAACCCGACGAGAAATTCTCTCTCTCTCTCTCCCTCTGTCTGTCTCGAATGGGGGTAAAAACACGCGGGAAGAAATTAAATTTGCTATCTGCCAAGGCAATAATATCTCCACTCGGAGAAACAATGTACGGGAATCGTGAGAATCGTAGGGAGGGCGCGTCGAAAGAACAAGATTGCGATCTCGAGCTACAATTAAGGAGGTCGGGGCGGTTCGCGCGCGGAGAAAATATTCCTTTCCACGTAGGCGTGGATCGCTAACGGATCGGGTATAGGCGGACCTAGAATAGGGCTCCTGAAAGCCCGATAAATCGAGCGCATATATATATATATATAAATATATATATTTTTTTTCGTCGGCATTTGTCATTACGCCCGCCCGCAATCTGAGATAGCGACCGTATAAACGAACGGCCGTAATGAGAGAGGCAAAGCGAAATTATAGCGCGAACGCATTATGTTACATTAGAGTGTACACGTTAAATTAGTCGGGTACACGCGTATATATTTTATCGGCGTTTATCGCCGATAATGAAAATACGCGCGACGCGAGAAAACACGCGAGTGTGCTATAAAATATTACGACACGTCTTATAATACGCGGACGGTGCGCGTTAATAAACTGGCGTTATTAATATCTTCAAAGCGCTTCGCAGTCGATTCAAACCTGCTGTCCGCGAGCGTGTGTGAGAATTACCATAATAGAACCCTAATTTGCAGTAACATTCCTTCCGCGCGCGCGCGCTCAGACGTAAGCATCCGCGTTATAATATTCAGCGCGATTTTTCCGAAACAAGCGAAGCTCTATCCAACGTGCTAACAGAAGGGCCCCCTTAAAGGCGCATCGGCCATCGCGGCCTGAGAAGGCGCGGAAGGCGAGAAGAAGAAGAGAGTGAGATAGAAAGAGAGAGAGAGAGAGAGACAAAGAGCCAGCACCTGGTTACAGACGTACGGGTGGAGGCAGGACGGAGGATAATAAAGCAGGAGTCCGTGAGGAATGATTTAGTGGTAAGCGGTCGAATAACTTTCCCGCCAACACTGTTGCCACTTTGAAGCGACGATGCGGTTCTCTCTTCGGGCCGGGCAACGCGCGCTCAGCACATCGTTGTTCTCTCATCTCTTGTGTTCCTCGAGAGGGAAGCGAGCGAAGAAAAAAAAAAGGCACGAGCCGGTGCGGAAGAAGGGAAATTTGTTGGATCGCCCGTACAAGAACCTCCTCCTCAGCGGGAGGGAGAACTATGGGGTCTTTCGACGTTGACTTCTTCCTCCTCCCGGGGAGAAAGAGAAGAAATATATAAACGCGCCGTCGTGTACGTGCGCCACGAGGCAGCGTATGCGGAAAAGAGAAAGAAGAAAATCCGGAGATTCCCGCTCCACCCAGACAATCATACTAATGAATTACTGCCGAACAATATCGGTGCCGATCTGATCCGGGTCCAACTTCGAAGACTCTCCTCCGCACGATATCACGGTATAGCTACGGGGCTCGAACTTCGACCACCCTTCACTTCCACAGAGTCTTGTCTTCGTTAGTCTTCCCGCATTATCCCGCCTCCTCTTTGTCATCCCCTCTTCCACTTCTTTCGTCACCTCCTGCCGCATATCTCGCGAATCGCGGATTACGATACATGAATTTATTACATCTCATTATTATTATTTTGCAAATCTCGTAAGAATTGTTTCTCATATAAAAAAAAACTGCGTTCAATTAATCACATTTTTTTCCTACCAGAAAAAGCGTGTGTAAATAATCACAATCGATTCTCTCGATTGTTGCCACTTTTATCTCGACGCAAATTGGAATACAAACGTCAATATATAAAAAAACAAAAGTCAGAAATACAAAATAGAAAGTCAATTAATAAAACTATGAGAGATGTAATGAATAAATAGATGAACAAATAAATAAAAAATAAAAATGAAAATTAAATACATAAATAAAAAAAACATTTCCTTTTAACTGTAAAATTGAAACCCAAATTGAAACGTCACAGTACTCGCCAACACAGAGAAACGGAACAAAGCATGACGGTTAGCTTACAAACTATATAATACACATATGAGAGATGTCAAAAATAACGCATAAAAGTCACACTCAAAAAATAGAAAAAGGAAGCAGTAAAAAAACAACACGTGACTAAAGTCACGTGACTATACTGATATGACTTTTTGTTTAAGATGTAAAAATCACTCCACCGTTTACGCAAAAAAATTGAGTGACTATTCACTGGTTAATAAACATATTCTGCAATGTTGCTAAAAAAAATTGTAAAAGTGAATTTTAACTCTACACACTTTACATATCAACACAAAAATCGCGTGTCAACATCAGCCGGAGAGTGAAAACAACAAACCATTTTTTCGCGTTATATTTTCATTCTGTTGATATTTTCTAATCTCCCCCGGAGGAAGAACAGTCAGGAATAGGGGACCGATACATACACGCGCGCGTTCGGATCGCGAAGCGTATTAAATCGCGAGCAGAGCCTTATAGCTGCTATTCCTCTCGAAACGCTTGGCGAGAGAGTACACACCGCGTGATGCATTGTTCCGCTCGTTTTGTTGCGGTCCGACCTTGCGAGAAATATCGATTTCAATCGGCGTGTATGCGGAATACAATCCGACGCGCGGAG